CCCCCCCCCCCCCTCGCCCGATCATTTTTTCCGTTTAGTGCAAGAAAATGCGAGGGAAGGGGTACAGTCGCAACATGCTCACCTGGTGCACCTCCGACACGACCGGGCCTTCCTCCACCCACCACTCCTTCACCATACGCCCCTCCTCCTGCCCCACCCCCCCCTGTGCGCCTGCTCCCACCGGCGTCGCCCCTGCCCGGCCCGCCTGACCCGCCGCCCCCTGGGGCCTAAATATATATGCCCCACCCTTCTGCTGATCTTGCGGCGCGTCCAGCCTCTCCCGAAGCTCCCCGTGCAGCCTCGAAGCCTCTGCTGCTGCCGACAGTCCTCGTTTCCCCTCTCCCGGGTTTCCACGATCACCTCCCGCGGCGTTATTGCTCCCGCCGTCAAAGGTAGGGTAGTAGAACCACCCCTGGTCGACGTCAAGCATGGTGCCCCCCAGCACCTCCGACCCCTCCACGCCGGCGGCGGCTTCCGTGTGGGTTTCCATTCTGGAGAGCCGGCCGGTCGTGCCGTTGAAGGTCAGGGTGACTCGATCGCTGCTGATGCTGAAGTCCTGCGCTCCAGCCCTCCCCGGCAAGCCTAGGGGCTCTTGCTCCCACGCGTCGTTACCTGTCTTCGGCGTGGTGCCGTCGGATGCTAACCCTGCCGCAGCTAGTCTCTCCTCTTGCCCCTGCAGCAGCCGCCCTCCCTCTGCCTCGGTGCTTTGCTCAGGAACGTGCCGCTCTCCTCCCCCTACTGCTGACTTTGCATCGCCCCTAAGCCTGACGTCGTCATCGCCATATTTGAGCGTCTTCTTGGCAACATGAAACGCTCTAGCTTCCAACGGTCCGAACAACCCCACCGGAAGCACCAATGTGTACGGGTGCTGACCCGGCCACTGCCCCTGCCCCCTCCCTTCCCCACCCAGGTCTCCATGAACGCCGAGGGACGGGAGTAGGTTGCTGTGTCGGAAAGGCACGACTTGAGCTTCGACTTTCGTGCCGGCGTCATCGGTGACGGCCACTGCCGGCCAGGATATGGGCACATCCACGTACCCCGTGCGGCGCTGGGCCAACGGGTTGTAAGCCACCACCACGAACGAATCTTCCGCCTGCGGTCAATGTTGTTGTTGTTGTCGATAGTGCTGTAGTTGTTGACTGGGTTTGTTGTTGTTGTTGGTGGTGCTGTTAGTATGGTGGTGGTGTTTGTGGTGATGAGGTTTGTTGTTCTTCCGACCATACGCTCGGGGGTGATGCAAAGAAATGAGAAAGCGGGGTCATTCTGTCACCGGGCCATAGAAGACCGTGTTACGCCTCGGAAAATTGGAAATGAAAATTTTGAGGTACCCTGTGTTACTGGAGCACTGAAGTGTGGAGGCTGCTCGCGTGACTGGAATACTCAAAACAAGATTTCTCTGCGGCAGGCACCTCTCACTCACTCATCACGTGTGTGCTCTCGAGTATTTTCAAGAATACGGATGTAAATTTATTGGTCCGTCCGTGCACAGAAACGGCGCAAGCATCGAAATATCTCCTTTGACGGATAATCCGGCCGTACAGCAGTCATATCATACACACACACCTCCATGGTGACGTCGCATGTGCTGACGTTGGCCAACCGGCACTGTCTCAGCTGCGGGAGGCCCGTGTCCTCATCACGCTCCCCGTCCTCCAGCCCTATCCTCCCCTGCTGCTGTTGCCCGCCGTTGCCGCCGAACGCAAGACGGCTGAGAGCGGAGGACACCAAGGCCTCGACCTTCACCCTGGAGCGGTCCAGCCGCTTGGCGTAGTCGTCAGCCACGTGCTGGACAGATAGCGAGAGCATGCAAGACATACAAAAAGCGGGGGGTTGAACCATCGCGAGGGCGGGCGGGGTCTGGTTGCGACATGCTAAGCCACCACGTCGAACCGAAGCAAGAAGAAGAGCTTGGTTCAGACCGTGCCAGGGGCTTGTTCTTACAACGTGCCATTGGGGGTTTCCAACCTGCTTGCTGGTGCCCGACACGCCATCGTGGTGCTGAAGTAGCGCTTGCGCCCTCTGAAGCCATAAACGTTAAGGGAACACGAAGCAAAGCGGCGGAGGCGCAAAAAAAGTTATTAATCATACAGGAGAGCAGCGAGCTCGGCAGCAGGCGTTCTCGCAAAGGCGGGGAGATTCAACGAAACCACCGGTATCTCTCTCTGACGCTCTCGGTAATCGAGCGGCATGTCGACGAACGATAGATCGAGATGCCTACCACCACTCGGCATCGCACGGCTTCGATCGCGTCGTGTTACTGTCGAAACCTTGGTGTTTCAATGTCTCAAAACTCGAAGGCAACATCTTGCCCACACCTATATACTGATGTCCAATGCAGCAGCACAACCATGTATGCGGTACGGTTACAGCGTCTCATCGCTGCAGACACACGGTCGATTCTCTTACAGACCTCGAAAGCTGCCAGGGTTTCACGATCTGTGCCTGCGGCGTTATTCCTTCCTCCTCCTCCGCTTCCTGCTGCACCCGCCAGGGCTAGGAGCTGCCGCGCGGCCTGCAGGTAGCCGCTCGTCACGCGCTCGAGCCGTTTCAGCCCAGGCCGACTAGTGAAGTAGCCCGTCCAGTAGCAGTGCTAAATTGCGGCGGGTTGGGGGGGGGGTAAAGCCCATAGAAAAAAACGTTGTTGCAGTAGTGGGTACGACCAGAACTAGACACACATCGTACCTGTCGAATGTTTGCTCCTGATTCGAGCTTCTTCCAGCACGAGGAATGTTGGCAGCGACGACAGCTCTCAACCAGCATCGCCACACGAACCTAAGAGGTCCTGTGTATCGTAGGTTGCATCAGATATCACACCCTCTGGACCGATCTTCAGATTTCTCCGCAGGAAAAGCAGGTGGCCGTGTCGAGAATGGCGGCGTTAGAAACGTTTCGTCGAGAGCTTTCCGAAAACGCACCATTTGATTTCGACATCCTCTTCGTCGTGGAGTAGTCAGGCTCTGAAAATGGGTTCGGGGTGTGTGTTATCTTACGTCATGTCGCCCATGGTAATAAGAACACACCGGGAGCTTTTGTAGGCCGAAAAACCGTACGACCGCGTGCGCCGCGTCCCGTAAACTTACCGGGCAGTCGGCGTACGGGAAAAAGTCGTCCTTCTTGACGGAGAGCTCCAGCCCGGAGGCGTGCTTCGCTTCCGTGTACAGCTGCGGAGTCGAGAAAAACACCTGCCGAAATATGGAACCGGTCAAAGTGGGGATGGGGGATGGAATGGAAAGCGGATGCTAGTCATCTAGTATTCACCTGCCGAATAGAACCGGACAACGAGGGTATGAATGTCAATGTGGGTGTTTCGTCTACGTGCTGGGTCGCCAGGCCGCAGACCTGTCGGTGCATGTGTTTGACGCATCAGCCTGGGTCACACGGGAGAAAGGTAGGCCACACAGGAGATCTTCTTCGATTTTGTTTTGACGCCCCGCCTCTACTCCTACGGTGTTTGCCTTTCCTTGGCCGTGGTTCAGCGGAATGGGGGTTGGAAACATTCAAATTCTTCACAGCAGCGAAGACCGGCGTTCGTTGGTGAACGGTACCAAACAAAGGACCACGAGGTTCCTACCGCATATGCCATGACAACGCACGACACGACACGAGAGATATATATATATATAAACAGTACCACGCACTACGGACGTGCTCTGTCAGCATGAAGGTGTACTATCATAGCGACGCTGTCGCTGAAGCCTAGATTGGTTCTACGTCTACTCGCTTGTTTCACCCCGGGTGTTGGCACCCTTTGGTCTTCGCATGCTTGGTGGGGTCCAGCGACTGAAAGCGGTGTAGAACAAGTGAGCCCCTACTCCAATAACAGCGCATGAACAAGGTGTTATAGTAGAGGCGCGAGGCGGCTTCGGTCGAAAAACCTCGCAGATGACAGCACGCGGAGATCACCAACACCAGTGCCTCGAAGTACACTGCACACCCGCACACGTCCAGCACTTCCCACAATAAATTGAGCGACAACAAATTTCTACTCGCGCATTGATTGGTGCTCACGTTGACCCGTCCCTCTTTGTTGACCGCCGCCATGAGGATCTCGAGGTTCTTGAACCAAGCGTCGGCGTTCTCGAAGCCGAAGTCGCCGCCCATCTGCAGCATCACGTCGTCTCCAAGAGTGTTTCGACCTAACTCCTGCCATGGCAGAGAGCCAAGGTTTGGGTTTGGGTTGTGGTACGAGCGTTGGCGCTAGTTGATGCGTGATGATGCACATCCGTGCGCAGAGGCCCCCAGTCCCACGCAAAAATCACTGATGTGTTACTGACCCTGGATCGGGGCTAGATAGCTGAGAAAAAGGTGAGACCGTGCTGTAGGTGTAACCTGGGTTACAAAACTCAAAACATTACTTTTACAATCTTTCCAGACCAAGAAGTAAATCGTCCCAAACATTTTCAAAGAGATACAAACGAACCGCGCTCAGGGTATCCTCTGAATCACACGACTACAAACGGATTTGCACGTTTTTGTCGTTTGCCGTCAGCTGATTGGCCACGTTCTCTCAAACCGCAGTACTTCGAAGAACGTACCTGGCAGGCATCAGCAAAGTCGGAGGCTCTTCTCTCGACGTTGTAGTCCGCCATCAGGGGGTCGTCCATCATGGGCTCGTCCTGGCATGCCTGGTCGAAGCAAAAACCTACCGGTGGGCCGTAATTTCCGCTGTGAAACACTCCTGCGGCAGCAACAAACACACGCAAACGAGGCATGAACGTTGGTTCTAGTCAGTGGACGCTACTGACATACTGCTCCACGCAACAAAGACTAGCGGACCGCAAGGCTGTGATGAATACGACCAGCAGAAACTCAACGCGAAAAACGATACAAAAGGGGCCACCGCAGAGGAAACTGCGAGAATAACAAGCAGGTTTACACCGCAACGTTGCAGGTCTGGCCGAAGGAAGAGCCATCTGGCGCGCTCTAGTTTCTCACAGCTTTCTCCAAATCTCCGGCATAAACAAGTCGACTACCCATGCACGTCAACTATTGAAGAGCGCTTGTTCTCTACTTTGGGAAGAGTGATTGAACCCTTTTCGCTTCAATATTGTAATGCATGCAGCCGTAGAAAGAAGTATGCTGTCTGCGTGACCCCGGATCCAAGCTCTTCAGTTGGAGAATAACAACTTGGTAGCGACAAACAATGTGGATGACGTGTATGTCGAAGGCGTGGGCATGGGGCTCATGCTTCCGCATACACAATTTGGGAAGAGACCCACGACTGCACGAGTCCATTTAGCATTCCGAGCGAACCGTTGGAGATCAGGAGATCATTGACGGATGCATGACCCTTGCGCATGTTTCAAATTCTCGAGCCATCCTCGGAACGAACCTGTGAAAATCTGGGCGTCCTGTTCGGACGACCGACTGGCCCTCCACATCATCTCCATATCCTTCTCGGCTATCCGCTTCTCCCGGTCCTGATAGTCAATTCGACCAAAGTAAAGGGCATCGAATCCCGCCTGCGAAAACAGCATATTTCGCAACATCGCAACTTTGGGGGGTTGGAATAGCAACGATATTTTCAGCGCAACTAGATTGGACGGAAAAATATATACTTGGTAGAACACAAAGGCAAACACAAGTTGTGAGGAACAGAAGCAGAGGCGTCGAAGCTCAATTATTATGTGAGCGTTTCACTTGCGTATAAAACAAACGCCTCCAGCCCCCGTCAGACGCCCCCGCCCCCCCTTCCCCCCCAAAGGCTGGACACATGTTTTCGGTTCCAAACCACTGTTGAACCCGTCTCCAAAGCTCGTTTGACCCCCCCCCCCCCCC